TTAATTCACTTAACCAAACAATTTTCTATTTATATTTAATTTTCAGTTTCATAATTTAATTATAAATCATGTAAGACAAGCAATACATGCATCAAGGAAATACAATTGAATCATCTTACCAATTCTAGTGTATTATCATGCATTTAAAACTATAAAATCAAACAATCAATTGAAACAGAACAAACAGTAATAAACAACCAGTTCCGTCTCTATTAGTAAGCTATAATTAATTATTGAAGTTTTTTTAAATTACTCAAAATACCGTATTATTTATAATTAGATTTCAATTCCATAACAGGAAATAAGGTGATGGATTCTTACCTGAATTGATGTCCGAAATACTGAACTTTCTACTATGCTTACTAACGGTCCCTGAGTTTCCTGAATTTTCATGCGGAGGTAAAAACACACTTCACATACCTAAAGATACCCTAAAAATCCTAAAATTGGTGTTAAAAATCTTTTCTGACTAATTTCAAAATTCCGACACGACTGCAGTGCTCTAGCGACGACACTGCCATCTACGGCGGCGATTTGCCTCGGATTGGTTGTTTTCGGGCAATTTTGGCCCATTTTGTCCAGTTTTATACCCATCATCATGAGAAAACATGTTAAGGGGTCTCGGTCAGCTGAAAAAAGTCAAAAAATAAAAACTTACTAGCGACGAAATTTTCTGGTGGGACGGCTCTACCGGCTCACTTTCGCAGTTGGGCATTTTTCTTTAGTCATTCTGTAGAAAACAGAATGGTGAACACAATGATGGAAAAATCGCACGAAACGGGAAACAGGAAGGGGCTCATGAGAGGCGATTTTTTATTTTTCCTACGGTACCACCCCCAGGCTATACCTGTTGTTTCCAGCTCATCTGCCTTTTCTTTTGCTCCAATTTAGCCATGGGGGTGTTCAAAATCAAATTATGAGAGAATACAAGAATTTTTACCTTTTTTGGCGGTCAGAGGTGGCTCCGGCGCGGCAGTGGGTGTCGGTCGGCTCCCTTCTCCGGTGATTGGTTCTTCTTCTCCGGTGGGGAGCTGGCAGCTAGGGTTTGGGTTTGGTGTTAAGTGAGATATTTATACCCATCTTTCCTAAATCTGGACCGTTCATCGCGTTTGATCTCGACCGTCCGATCGCGTTTAAAAAGAAAATGAATCTTAATCGTTCATCGCGATTTGATATCGATCGTACGATCGTATTTAAAGAAGAAACGAATATGTACCATTCATTGTGTTTAATCGCGACCGTCGGATCGCGCCTGAGGGGGGAATGGATCCGGACCGTCCACACGCGCGTGAACGCATCCAGACTGTCCGATCGTGGGCACAGAGATTTCTGGCATGGCCTTCCGCATGGCACCGAGTCAGCGTTCCTTGCCACGCGGTGCGCTCTACTTCGTCGGGGCTGCTGACTGGGCGATCCTACATAGCACATTTTTTCTTAATTGCATTTTGACCCTTAGTTTTCGATTTTTCTTTAAAAAATATCTCCTGAACCCAAATTTTCACATTTTTAAAAAAAATTATTTTCAATATCATCCTCTACCTATTTTTTTCTAATTTTACATTAAATAAAAAATTTTATATTTAAAAATTATATTTATATATATATTTATTTTAATTTTAAAAATAATCCCGGGCCAAATTTTAGGCTTGGGTATTACATCAATTCAGACATTAAATGTTTGTAAATATAATTCATGTATCTATTAGAAGTTTGACGTCTTCCTTTATGTCTCACAAAAGATATCTCAGTAGATAGTGAGGAGGAGAGAGATGAGGAAGAAGAAATGGAAGAGAGAGAAGCATGGAAGAGGAGGTATTTTTTAGTTTTTTAATTCTCAACTAATTCAGACTGGTGAGGGTTTTCATGGATCCGAAAGCAGACTAGATCAAACTGAAATTTGAAAAGATTATGATCAAAGATCATT